CAACAGTGTAAGAGGTTTCCCCTTTCTTCACATCCTCACCAACATCTGTTGTTTTCTGAGTGGTTAATTTTAGCCATTCTGACTGGTGTGAGGTGGTATCTTATTGTGGTTTTGATTTGTATTTCCTTGATGCTGAGTGATGTGGAGCATTTTTTCATGTAAATCTTCATTGGAGAAATGTCTGTCTGTTCATGTCTTCTGCCCATTTCTTGACTAAATTTTTTATTTTGGGGGTGTTGAGTTTGATAAGTTCTTTATAGATCTTGGTTACTAGACCTCTATCTGATAAGACATTTGCAAATATCTTCTCCCATTCTTCTGGTTGTCTTTTGGTTTTGTTGACTGTTTCCTGTGCTATGCAAAAGCCTTTTATCTTGATGAAGTCCCAACAGTTCATTTTTGCTTTTGTTTCCCTTGCCTTTGGAAATGTGTCTTGCAAGAAGTTGCTGTGGCCGAGGTCAAAGAAATTGCTGCCTATGTTCTCCTCTAGGATTTTGATGGATTCCTGTCTCACAGTTAGGTCTTTGATCCTTTTTGAGTTTATTTTTGTGTATGGTGTAAGAAAGTGGTCCAGTTTCATTCTTCTGCGTGTGGCTGTCCAATTTTCGCAGCACCATTTGTTGAAGAGACTGTCTTTTTTCCATTAGATATTCTTTCCTGCTTTGTTGAAGATTAATTGACCATACAGTTGTGGGTTCATTTCTGGGTTTTCTGTTCTGTTCCATTGAAAATATGTCTATTTTTGTGCCAGTACCATGCTATCTTGATGATTACAGCTTTGTAATACAGCTTGATGTCTGGAATTGTGATACCTCCAGCTTTGGTTTTCTTTTTCAACATTACATTGGCTATTCAGGGCCTTTTCTGACCTGAATACAAATTTTAGGATTGCTTTTCGAATTTTTCAACTTCTGTTTAACTATGTTTTCATATTAAATTATACTGCTCTGTCCCATTCTCTTCTTTCTCTGACTCTAAACATATGTTAGATCTTACCATTTCCCATGAGATTTTAATGATTTTATGCTATATTTCCCATTTTTTGTCTGTATTTCAGTGAGGATATTTTCTGTTGACCTCATACTAGTTTATTGTTCTGTTCCTAATGTGTTTAATCTTGGTTATTATATTTTTCAGTTTTATCATTTATGTTTGATTCTGTTTTATAGATTCCAGTTCTCTAGAGAAATTCTCCATTTTCCCATCTATTTACTTGAACACATTAATCAAAGTCATTTTAAAATGTATGTCTAAAGAGATCACAAGTGTTGCCAAGGATGTGTAGAAAAGGGAATCCTTGTGCACTGTTGGTGGGAATGTAAATAAGTACAGCCATTATAGAAAACAGTATGGGGAGTCATTAAAAAATTAAAAATAGAACTGACATATCCAGCAGTCCCATTTCTTGGTGTGTATTCAAAGGAATGAAATCACTACCTTGAAGAGATATGTGCACCCTCATGTTCATTGCAGCATTATTCACAATAGCTAAGACAGGGAAGTGACCTAAGTGTGTATCAACAAATGCATGGAGACACACACACACACACACACACACACACAATGGAATAGTGTTCAGCCATAAAAAAGAAGGAAATCCTGCCATTTGTGACAATATGGATGACCCCTGAGGGTATTATGCTAAGTGGACAGACAGAAAAAGACAAATACTGTATGATCTCACTTATGTGTAGAATCTAGAAAAGCCAAACTTATAGAAATAGAGACTAGATTGGTGGTTGCCAGGGACTAGGGGTTGGGGAAAATGAAGAGATCTTGGTCAAAGGGTACAAACTTCCAATTATATATGAATAGTTCTGGGGATCTAATGTATAGCATGCTAACTATATTTAGCAATACTGTATTATATACTTTAAATTTGCTAAGACAGTAGACCATTAATGTTTTTACCACACACACAAAATGGTAACTATGTGAGGTGATGGATGTGTTAACTAGCCTTCTTGTGATAATTATTTCACAAGATATACATATATCAAATCATCTTGTACACTTAAACTCACGCAATTATCACGGTTATCACACAGTTCAATTATATCTTAAAGCTAGAGAAAGGCAAATGTTTGTTGAATAAATGCATGAATGAATGGATATGAGAAAAAGTTAAAATGCATATTTAATAACTTCAATACGTAGATCACCCATGAATATGTTTCTATGGTCTTTTTTCTTCTTTTTTTAGTCATTTGACATTTTTAGAAATAAAATTGAGACTCTGGCTGGTATTATCTTACTCTATAAAAGAATGACTTTTGCTTTGTGTAGGCAGAGGCAAATCATCTTAATCCAATCTAGGATTGAGCTGTTTCAAAATTGTGTTGTGAGAACTGGTCTATTTCTTGTTCAGTATTACTTCTAGAGTATAGTGCTTCTGTGACCTTCCATAGCTCTAACTGGAAAAGTCATTACCACTCACCTTTTCTTGGCAGACCCTGAGCTCCAATTTTGGACTACAGATCTGCTTGGCTTCTCAGCCTCATAGGCACTACTTTTTGCTCATCTTATATTCTTGTCATGTGCTACTTAGGAAATGGCAAATATCTCATGGGAAGAATTGGTGCAGAATGTTAGTCTCACCTTAAAGCATTTTGCTTCTTCTGGTCATCTTGGCCCAACAAGTCCTGGCTGCCTTGGTAGCCCTGAATTTCAAGTTTTGTGTCTATATACCTGTGAACTGCCAAAAGTTCAGCTAAGGTTCTCAGCCTCTTAGCTATCAGTTTCTGCTTGGCCATCCACCACTTACAAATAGACAAAGGCCGTGAGGATAACATAGAATAATACAGAATATCAAGCTCATTTCAGTACACTTCTCTTCCCTCTGAGGTTTTGGTCTCTGACTCTTGACACCCTTGTTAGACATTCCAGTACTTTGAAATAGATGCTTTCTGCATTTTATTTATCCTCTTCTAGTTCTCAAGAGAAATGTTGATCAGATATAAGCCAATCCTACATGATCAGAAGTGAGATGTCTATATTCTTTATGACTAAGAAAAAGTGAGATTTCTAGAATGATGGCCTAACTTTGAGGGTAAAGCTTTTACTTTCCAAAATGTCTTAGTGTGGGCTGTCTCAAATACTTCTCTATCATTTGGCTCTTTCTCTGGATGCTCTACCTTCATCTCAATGATATTTAGGTATTGTTATTTTTTTAAAGATTTATTTATTTATTTGGGAGAGAGAAAGAGTGTGTGTGTGTGAGTGGGGTGGGGGAAGGGCAGAGGGAGAGAGGAGAGAATCTTCAAGCGGACTCCCTGCTGAGCATGGAATCCGATGTGGGGTTCCATCCCAGGACCCTGAGATCATGACATGAGCCAAAATCAAGAGTCAGACACTTAACCAAATGAGCCACCCAGGCGCCCCTAGGCATTGTTATTTTAATTTGCAGTTCCCAAATGAAATTGATGTTGAGCATCTTTTCATATGCTTATTTGTTATCGGTATATCATCTTTAGTGAGGAATCTGTTATTTTGCTCATTTTTACTTTGGTGGTTCATTTTCTTATTGTTGATTTTTAAAGAGTTCTTTGTACATTTTGGTTTATCTGGTGAATCTTTGTAAATATTTTCTTCCAATCCATGACTTGTCTTATTTTCTTGACTTTGGGCAATAAAACTTTGAAGGTAACTCAATCAATACCTTTTTTATTTTTTGGAAGTTTTGCCAATTCTAGATGTATTTTGCTATCTGTCAACCTCTATACATTTCTTACTGGAATTTTATATTTAACTGTTTTGGGAACTGGCAAAACCACTGAAAGTGTTTTTTTTTTTTAAAGATTTATTTATTTATTTGAAAGAGAGCAAGAGTGAGGGGGTTTGCTGAGGGAAAGGGAGAGAAATCCTCAAGCAGACTCCCCGCTGAACACAGAGCCTGTCATGGGGCTCAATCCCAGGACCCTGAGATCATAACTTTAGCTGAAATCAAGAGTCGACGTTTAACCGACTGAGTCACCCAGGTGCCCCCACTGAAAGTGTTTTTAATACTGTTGAGTTAACATGAAAATAGAAAGCATCCTTGTGTAGTTTTGTTTTCAGTACAACTCAAAAATCATGTGAAAAAAACTCCATTACTTTTGTAAAGTCTTAATTAAAAAATCAAAATTTGTGGGGCACCTGGCTAGCTTAGTTGCTAGAGCATGCAACTCATGATCTTGGGGTTCTGAGTTCAAGCCCCATGTTGGGTGTAGAGCTTACTTAAAAAAAAATCAAAATTTGTATTTTAACACATACCAAATCAACATCTAATGAGGTGGTGGGTTTTTTTTTTAAACATATTTTGTTGCTATAATGCATACTGCTTATTTTATTGGTGTTATGATTAGTTTTCAGTGCTGGGGTTAAATTCTGTTGTATAGTTTTTAGTATGTTATGTTCAGTTGTTTAGATTTTGTCTAGAAAGGAAAGAATTAAAAACTCTACTTTCCCTGTCATGTAATATGTGCATTTTTATGTTCAAAGGTCACCATCTTTGATAAAATCCTAAATATTCCTTCCTTGTAGGAAATATTTTTGGATGAAATGGCTTTTTCACAGACTGGAGAATAGCTATATGATGGAATTGTAGACTATAAGAACATTTAGATCACAGGATAATAAAAATGAAAGAAGCCTTCAGTATTTTCCAGTTATGCCTCATTATTTACAGGGGAGAAAACTGAGGCCCACAAAACAGAATAACTTAGACAAAGTCAAAATGGGTTTGTGACCTTATAATCCATATCTTTTCCTAATCTACCATGCTGTTTTATGAACCAAACTTGGACATCCTTTTTTTTTTTTATTTGAAGACTTTACTTATTTATTTGACAGAGAGACAGCGAGGGAGGGAACACAAGCAGGGGGAGTGGGAGAGGGAGAAGCAGTCTTCCCGCGGAGCAGGGAGCCCGATACGGGGCTCGATTCCAGCCACCCCGGCGTGCCCAAACTTGGACATCCAATCACTATATTCCACTACCCAGTAAGAATCAATAAAGTAAATGTCTTTTATATCACATTTATTTTTATCAGTTGTTTGTTTGCTGGTTTCTTTGCTTGGCAGTTGTGATGTACTTGGGGCTCATTCGATTTCCTGGTTCCCAGGTGCAGCCATAGATCCTGGTATCTCTGTCCATGAGTATCACTTTCTCTTCTGGGCAGTGGTGATGTCTGCCTAGTAACTTCTCTTTTTCAGGCAACGAAAGCTGTGCCCTAGGTGTCATAGTCACATGAATGGAAATAAAAGAAATTTGGTTCACTAGGCAGGTGGCACTGCCTTCATGACCCTATCCCAAGATATCCAACATCAAGTAAGAGAGGAGATATGCTGGTTGTATACCATCTTTCTATGTAGTGTTCACTCTTTGCTATCCTACACTGCTGCCTATGTTGTATGAAGAGAAAAGAAGCTCCCTGCCTTGAATTCTGAACCAAATTGAATTTTGAATGATGACAGGTTTTGTAAGTATATCTGTTCTTTCAGAAAGCTGTAATCTTTTTGCCAAAATATTGGAACATTTTGTGAATTTTGCTACTATATGGAGAATAAATATGGGATAAAGTATTTGAAAGGGGACTGTTCAAGAAAATACACAGTTACTGTACTTAGACACATGCAGATGAGCCCACTTTTCTTCAACACCCATCACTCAGATTCTGTCTTGAAAGGAATTCCCAGTAAGTCCTAGGTCAGGCCATATAGAGAGTATGGCTAGCTTAGTATATGCCACAGGTGAGCATCTGAGACAGTCTTTTTTATATGATATTAGGTGTCAGATGGAACTAGAGAGTAGGAAACTTTGTCATATACAAATGTCACTCAAGTAGTGCCTTTGAGGGCAGCACACTCAAGTACTTTATTAATGAAAATCTTGACAATGGAGTCTGTTATGGACCTACTGTGTTTAACTCTTGAGTCTGAATTAAGCCCCAACGTTAATTTTCAAATTTCCAGAGCACTTTCCAGAAGGGAATAATGGGCCTCACATTTCTTAGTGTGTTTTTAAGCTTTCCTACCGTTCCATCTCTTTATCCCATACTTGTCTCTCCATGATTTTCCCTATATGGAACCATCCACACCTGACATACTCTGGCTCTTTGTATTGATCAAAGAGACCAAGAAATCATGGCTTGGCCCTGCCCTCAGCTTTCCACTCTCTTACTCCTTGACCCTTGTATTGGAGCACACCTGCTTGGTTTAGTGCTGCTGTTCCATGTTAGAGTGGGGACTCATGAGGCTTGGTTTCCTGACTATGGGCAGGGTGGAGCTCATGGGAAAGGCCATGTGGGTAAAACACCTGGCAGTTGCAGAACAGGCCTTCCTCTTTGATTGTAGGGTTAGGGTCCAGGGTAGCAAGCTGATCGATCAGAGAACTATCTTCTTAGGTTGTGGGGGTGGACCCTTGATGGCTGCTCTCCAGTGCTCAAATTTAGAGCCATCCCAGAATCTGGAGGCCCGACGCTTCTGTACCAAATAAGAGAAGGTTGTGAATATATGAAGGAGAGAGATCCATCCTCTCCCACCCTCCCTGCCCTGGCCTCCACTGTCCTTAAGGATTTTATTATCACATTCCACCAGGAATGGACATCACTAGCTCTGGAAGTTGCAAATCTCTGATGATCATGTGGCCCGCAGGAAATAGCCCTTGCTAAGTCTTAGGAAATGTAGTATCGTAGCTTATCAGAGCTTGTGTCTTCATCAGGAAAGTCAGGACAATTCCTCATGCTTGCCTCAGAGGAATATTAAAATTAGTAAAATCTTAGGTTGAATATGTTTTTTTAAAGATTTATTTATTTGAGGGGCACCTGGGTGGCTCAGTCATTAAGCATCTGCCTTCGGCTCAGGTAATGATCCCAGCGTCCTGGGATCGAGCCCAGCATCGCACTCCCTGCTCGGCGGGAGGCCTGCTTCTCCCTCTTCCACCCCCTCTGTTTGTGTTCCCTCTCTCGCTGTGTCTCTCTCTGTCAAATAAATAAATAAATAAATCTTAAAAAAAAAGATTTATTTATTTGAGAGAGAGCGAGAAAGAGAGAGACAGTGTATGGGGAGGGGCAGAGGAAGAGGGAGAGAAACAGACTCCACTAAGCTGGGAGCTCAGCATCGGGCTTAATCCCATGACCCTGAGATCATGACCTAAGCCTAAATCAAAAGTTCAATGCCCAACCAACTGAGCCACCCCAAATATGGTTTTGACAAACCTAGAGTGTGAGGTGGTATCTCATTGTAGTTTTTTTATTAAATTTTTTATTTAAATTCAATGTAATTAATATATACTGTATTATTAGTTTCAGAGGTAGAATTTAGTGATTCCTCAGTTGCATAAAACACCCAGTGCTCATTACTTCAAGTGACCTCCTTAATGTCCATCACCCAGTTACCCCAATCCCCTGTTCACCTTCCCTCTAGTAACCCTGTTTGTTTCCTATAGTTAAGTCTCTTATGGTTTGCCTCCCTATTTTCATCTTATTTTATTTTTCCTTCTGTTCCCCTATGTTCATGTTTTGTTTCTTAAATTTCACGTATGAGTGAAATCATATGGTATTTGTCTTTCTCTGACTGACTTATTTCTCTTAACATAATACCCCTTAGTTCCATCAACGTGGTTGCAAATGGCAAGATTTCATTCTTTTTGATGGCTGAGTAATATTCCATTATATATATGTATACCATATCTTCTTTATCCATTCATCTACTGATGGACATCTGGGCTCTTCCATATTTTGGCTATTGTGGACATTGCTGCTATAAACATTGGGGTTCATGTGCCCCTTTGAATCACTGTTTGTATCCTTTGGATAAATACCTACTACTGCGATTGCTGGGTTGGGAAGCCTACATACTGTTTTTCAGAGTAGCTAAACTGGTTTGCATTCCCACTAACAGTGTAAGAGGATTCCCCTTTCTCCACATCCTTGCCAATATCTGTTGTTTCTTGAGTTGTTAATTTTAGAGCTTTTCCCCTAAGGTCAGGAACACATCAGGGATGTCCACTCTCACCACTGTTGTTCAACATAGTACTGGAAGTCCTAGCCTCAGTGATCAGACAACAAAAAGAAATAAAAGGCATCCAGATTGACAGGGAAGACTCCTCCCAAAAATTGCTAGAACTGATACAAGAAGGCTATAAAATCAATATACAAAAGTCAGTTGCATTTCTATACACTAACAATGAGGCAGAACTAAGAGAAATCAAGGAATTGATCCCACTTACAATTGCACCCAAAACCCTAAGATACCTAGCAATAAACTTAACTGAAGAGGTAAAGGATCTGTACTCATCATAGTTTTGATTTGTATTTCCCTGATGATGAGTGATGTTGAGCATCTTTTCATGTGTCTGTTAGGCATCTGTATGTCTTCTTTGGAGAAATGTCTGTTCATGTCTTCTGTCGATTTTTAAATTGGATTATTTTGTTTTTGGGTATTGAGTTGTATAAGTTCTTTACATATTTTAGATAGTAACCCTTTATTGGATATGTCATTTGCAAATATCTTCTCTCATTCCATAGGTTGCCTTTTAGTTTTATTGTTTCCTTCTTTGTGCAGAAACTTTGTATTTTGATTTAGTCATGATAGTTTATTTTTGCTTTTATTTTCCTTGCCTCAGGAGACATATCTAGAAAAATGTTGCTATGACCAATGTCAGAGAAATTAGTGCCTTTGCTCTTTTCAAGGATTTTTGTGGTTTTGGGTCTCACATTTAGGTCTCTAATCCATTTTAGTGGGGGCAGAAGGAGAGGGAGAGAGAGAATCTTAGGCAGGCTCCATGCTGGGTGTGGGGCTCAATCTCACAACCCTGAGATCATTATCTGAGTAAAATCAAGAGTTGGATGCTTAACTGACTGAGCCATCCAGGTGCCCCATAGGTCTTTAATTCATTTTGAGTTTATTTTTGTGTATGGTGAAAGAAAGTGGTCCAGTTTCATTCTTTTGGATATAGCTGTCCAGTTTTCCCAACACCGTTTGTTAAAGAGACTGTCTTTTTCCTATTGTATATTCATTCCTCCTTTGTTGAAGATTAACTGCCCATATAATTGTAGGTTTATTTCTGGATTTTCTGTCCTATTAATCTATGTGTCTATTTTTGTTCCAGTACCATACTGTTTTGATTACTACAGCTTTGTAATTTAACTTGAAGTCTGAAATTATGATGTTCCCAGCATTGCTTTTCTTTTTCAAGATTGTTTTGGCTATTTGGGGTCTTTTGTGGTTCCATACCAATTTTAGGATTGTTTGTTCTAGTTCTGTGAAAAATGCTGTTGGCATTTTGATAGGCATTGCATTAAATGTGTAGATTAAATGTGTAGAATTTTAAGAATATTCTTTCTTCTAACCTGTGAGCATGAAATGTCTTTCCATTTTTTTGTGTCATCTTGAATTTCTTTCATCAGTGTTTTATAGTTTTCAGAGTGCAGGTTTTTCACCTCTTTGGTTAAGTTTATTCCTAGATATTTTATTGGTTTTGGTGCGGTTTTAAAGGGGATTTTTTTTCTTAATTTCTCTTTCTGCTGCTTCATTTTTAGTGTATAGGAATGCAACAGATTTTTGTATATTGATTTTATATCCTGATTCTAACCCTACAAATAATGAAAATTTTACTTCTTCCTTAGAAATCTGGATACCTTTTATTTCTTTATATTGTCTAATTGCTGTGGCTAGGACTTCCAGTACTATGTTGAATAGAAGTGGTAAGAATGGATATTTTTGTCTTGTTCCTGACCTTAGGGGAAGAGCTCCCAGTTTTGTCACCATTGAGTATGATGTTGCTGTGGGTTTTCTATATAAGGACTTTATTATGATGAGGTATGTTCCCTCTAGAACTGCTTTGCAGAGGATTTTTGTCATGAATGGATGTTATACTTAATCAAATGCTTTTTCTGCATCTGTTGAAATGATATGATTTTTATCCTTTCTTACTGATGTGACATATCACGTTGATTGTTTTGTGAATATTGAACCTTGCATCCTGGGAATAAATCCCACTGGATCATGGTGTATGATTATTTTTTTTTTAGTGTATTGTTGGATCAGTTTGCTGATATTTTATTGAGGATTTTTGCATCTATATTCATGAGAGATATTTGCCTGTATTTTTCTTTTTTTGTGGTGTTTTTATCTGGTTTTGGTATCAGGGTGATACTGGCCTCTTGGAATGAATTTGGAAGTTTTCCTTACTCTTCTATTTTTTGGAATAGTTGAAGAATAGTTATCAACTCTTCTTTGAGTATTTGGTAGAATTCTCCTGTGAAGCCATCTGTTCCTAGAATTTTGTTTTTGGGGAGTTTTTTGATTACTGATTCGGTTTCGTTGCTGGTAATTGGTCTGTTCAAATTTTCTATTTCTTTCTGCTTTAGTTTTGGTAGGTTATGTGTTTCTAGGAATTTATCCATTTCTTCTTAGTTGTCCATTTTATTGGCATATAGGTTTTCATAATATTCTCTTACAATTGTTTGTTTTTCTGAGGGTTGGTTGTTATTTCTTCTCTTTCATTAGTGATTTTGTTTATTTGGGTCCTCTCTTTTTGAGGAGCCTGGCTAGAGGTCTATCAGTTTTGTCGATCTTTTCAAAGAATCAGCTCCTGGTTTCCTTGATCTGTTCAGTTTTTTTTTTTTAAGATTTTATTTATTTATTTGAGAGAGAGAGAGAGAATGAGAGACAGAGAGCATGAGAGGGAGGAGAGTCAGTGGGAGAAGCAGACTCCCTGCTGAGCAGGGAGCCCGATGCGGGACTCGATCCCAGGACCCTGGGATCATGACCTGAGCCGAAGGCAGTCGCTTAACCAACTGAGCCACCCAGGCGCCTTGTTCTGGTTTTTTTTTTTTTTTTCAGTTTCTATATCATTTGTTTCTCCTCTAATCTTTATTATTTCTTTCTTTATGCTGGTTTTAGGTTTTTTTTTGTTGTCCTTGTTCTAGCTCCTTTAGGTGTAAGGTTAGGTTATTTGAGATTTTTCTTGCTTCTTGAAGTAGGCCTGTATTGCTATAAACTTCCCTTCTAGAACTGCTTTTGTTGCATCCCAGAGGTTTTGGACTGTTGTGTTTTCATCTTCATTTGTTTTCATGTATTTCTGGATTTCTCCTTTGATTTCTTGGTTAACCCATTCATTGGTAGTATGTTGTTTAACATCCATGTTTTTGTGGTCTTTCACTTGTGGTTGATTTTTAGTTTGATAGCATTGTGGTCAGAAAAGATGCGTGGTATGACTTTGATCTTTTTGAATTTGTTGAGACTTGTTTTGTGGCCTAATGTGTGATGTATGTTCTGGAAAATGTTCCATGTGCACTTGAAAAGAATGCATATTCTGCTGTTTTTGAATGGAATGTTCCACATATGTCTGTTAAATCCATCTGGTTTAGTGTGTCATTCAAAACCACTCTTCTTGCTGATGTTCTGTTTGGATGATCTGTCCATCAGTGTAAGTGGGGTGTTAAAGTCCCCTGCTATCACTGTATTACTATTATTTC